TGAAGACCGTATTAATCATTCGTTGGAAAGTAGCAGGCGCATTTTTCAAGCCAAACGACATCACAGTATAACAGAATAACCCCTGATCAGTGACAAATGTCGTCTTCTCTTGATCTTTCTTCTAAAAGGGTATTTGATGAAAGCTTGAGTAGGCGTCCATGAAACTCATCAAGGCATGTCCGGCTGTAGAGTCGGCTAGAATGTTGATCTTTGGAAGCGGATAACTGTCCTTCGGACAAGCCCTGTTCAAATCAGTATAATCAACACACATGCGCCAGGTCCCATTCATCTTTTGTACAAGGACAACATTCGCAACCCAATCTGGGAAGTGACATTGCCGAATGAACCCGGTGTCTAACAGCTTTTTGACCTCGGCGACTGCCGCCTGAGATCTTTCCTCTCCGTGATTTTCTCTTCTTCTACCTAACAGGCTTCTTCTTTGGATCCACGGCGAGTTTGTGGACAGCGAAATCTGGGCTGATGCCTGACATCTCTTCCACATCAAAGGCAAAGATGTCCTTGAATTCTTTCAATAGGTTGTGTAAGTGTGCCCCCATCTTGGCAAAATCAATCGTCCCAACCTTTACAGTACGTGTGTGTCATCGAGAGCGATGTCTATGTATTCACCAACCGGCTGGGGACGGAGTTCATCTGATCGTTCCCCGATCAGTGATTGCTATTGCTTCTCTTTCTTGACAGTCACCAACTGGTCGGCCTTTCTCTTCTTGTCGCCTGCCGGTGGGGCAGACTCAGGTTCCTTAACATCGTCAAGGTTTATTGTCTCCACTCCTTGGCCAACTGCTGTGGGCTTGACGTTCGAGAGATAGCACTCTCGGGCCGTCTTCTGGTCCCCATTCAGGGGAGGACAAAACCATCATCCCTTTCAAACTTCAGCAGCATAAGGGATGGAATAATGACGGCCTTGGATTCGTTCAGAGTCGGACGACCTATTATCATGTTATAGGCAGTCAGCTCTTCTACGACCAAGAACCGGACGACCATATTGCGCCCTTCTCCCCCCTCTCCCAGCCGGATGGGCAGATCAATGCGGGCAATTGGGTGCACAACTCCACCCCCAAAACCAACCAAGGGGTGAGAGACCTTATGCATGCTGTTTGGCTTGTACTTCAGCTTGGACAGACAACGCTAGCTGATAATATCAGACGAACTGCCTGTGTCAATAAGGATCCGACCAACCTTTTGATTAGCCACCTTTCATTCAATGACAGTGGGGTCATCATGCGGACGGCGGACTTCGCCGCGGTCCTTCTCAGAGATGATGACCTCAAGAAAGGTATTGGTAGATGTCTGGCCTTCATTGACCAAGCTGACATCTATTTGTCTGAAATGGCCCTAGGTGCCTCTAATAGTTGGGCCCCCACAGGCAAAGCCGCCTACAGTGGTGCAGATCTTGTCCGGATCAATGTCCGACCCACTATTAGCCTTTATAGACTTTTTTTACGGCTGCCTGGGGTCTGTCTTTAGGATCACCTTGGACTTCAGGATGTAGGATTTCAGCACTCCTTTATCAGTCAATCTGTCCAACAACCGCTTGAGGCTATAGCAGTCATTGGTGTCATGGCCAATATCCTCATGGAAATGGCAGTACTTGTTTTTGTTCCAATTTTTGGCCGGACCTTTCATAGTTGCGGGCTTCTCAATGGTCACCCGGTCTTTGATCTCCATGAGGATGGAGTAGCAGTCCTTGTTAAACTCGTACTTGGGGATGTACGGTTTAAACTCTTTATTTTTCTTTTTGGACGGCTGATCAGAGTCCTCAATCGCCCAAACTTCTTTTCTTTTCTTTCTCTCTTAAACTTTTTGAGCTTGTAGATCTTGCCGACTCCCTTTTTGTTTGTTAGACTTCTTTGAGTCCGATTGCTTGCTGGTGGAGCAGAGTTCGGTCGCTTGTATAAAAGTTTCCACCTCCATCAGCGCCTCTTGAAGAGTGATGATTATCTGCCGGACAAGGTCAAACTTAAAAGTTGACCTGTCTTTCAGACCCTTGAAAATGTCTGTATATGCAACATCGTCAGACAGTCCTTGGATTTGGATTCTCACAAGATTGAACCACCTGACACAAGAACGGAGCCCCTCCCTATCTCCTTGTTATACCGCGCCTAAGTTAAGGATTGTCTTTTTGGCGGGTATATTCATAGAGAGGTTAGAGGCAAACAAGAGCGCAAGTGTCTTGAAGTTATTGATGCACCTAAGCGGCAAATTGCCGAACCACTGTTGGGCAATGCCCTTTAGCGCCGCTGGGAAGCATCTGCACCACGCGACATCCCAACCCCTGCAAGTACATGAGGTGGGTGTAGGCCATCAGGTGGTCTTCTAGGTTGGTGGTACCACTATAGGTACCAACCATGACATTTTTAACCTTGGTCGGCTGAGCCGCCTCGGTTACTTACTTGGAGAACGCAGAAGGTTGTTCCCTAAGTTTTAGCAGACGGAGCTGCCAGTCTAATGGCTGGACTTGATATGTCGCCTGACCCCCGAAGAGGGCAGGTTGCTGGTATTGTTGGGTAAACGGTCTATATGGCAGTTGGGGCACATACGGGGCCAAGCCTATCATCTGAGCACCTGTATGGACGGATGGGCCGCCTGACATGTTCTCCTGTACAGATTGGGAATACCTCATCGAAGTGTTCCTAAAGCTGTCTAGCATAGTCGACGTTGAAGCCGAGTCAAACAGTTACCTGTTTCTCTTTTGCTCAATGATAAGTCGAGCATCATAGTAAGTTTTCTTACTGCCATATGGCTTAGTATGCTAGATGGGCTTCCTCTTTCCCTGGTCTGGGAAGCGGAACTTGGACCAATCGATAAAAAGCCTGCCCCCCTCCTTTGTATTAGGATGCGGAGTGGGCGACCTGTCCTTCACCGACTTAACCTTCTCAGAGTGAGAGGGCTTTTTTGTCGACTGACCCTTGTTGGGACCAACCGTCTTCTTAGTGATCAAGTCCTTTATCTCCCCCTTAAAGCTCGTCATGAATTTTATGAACTCTTCTCGGGTGATGTAAGCAGTCTGTCCTGCCGCCTGAGGCTGGCCAATTGACTTACTCGGACCCGCCTGATCATTGCCCCATTCCCTGTTATCCTTGGAACGGATGTGTCTGGTTTTAAGGGATCCATCTTTGGTCGTGTATACTTCGACCTTTGGATCAGAATCTGTATCATGGTCCGAATGAACCTCTACTTCTGGACGTTTGTCCTCAAGAGGCGGTACAGTCTGTTAAGAAACCATCTTAGAGGTACTCTCCCCATAGACGGTGCTAAATGTTTTTGGGTTTTTATGTGTCCTGCGGGAGAGTTACGTCACCAAGACTGGATTCTCTTCGCCTGTATTTGCAAACAAACGGAACCTCCGGTTGTGCTGAGTTCCACCTCTAACGATCAAGTTAGTAAGAGTCGAAGGAGAGTAAAAAGTGCGGAAAGTAAAAGTAGATCTTCTCGGATTCCGAGAACAAATGTTTTCTCTGATGTGATAGAATTGATTGAGTGTAATAAATGAACATGCCCCCAAATTGGGGTAAATCTCCCTATTGATAGGGTCATGGGAATTAGTGCCCCCTTTTCTAGGTCATCAACCTAGGTAAATGGGCTGCGCCGTTTTTACGGTGTTCTCCGGATTTGGGCCTTTGAAAGCCGCCTATTTTCCTAATGATTGGGAGTGCCACGTGTCAACTGGTGATTGGTCCTTTTTAGACCTCTCTTGCCCCTTATGATTGGGCCACGTGGCTTGGGTATTTTTACCCAAATCACATACCATACAAAAATAGACTCAAAACTTCTAAACGCTTATGTGCATGGCATACCACAACAATCTCATAGCATACAACTTTAGTTACACAACATACAAACAAATAAAATCAAACAATTAACAACAAACATTCAACAAATAACTCAATTTGAAAACAATATCATCCTTAAGATTAATGGTCAAGTTCATTGTCATGGAAAGGTAGCATGTTGATCCAGTCGATACAGGGAAGTTCTTGTACAAGCATTTGTCATCCTCACAAAATAAATGAGTGCAAATTACCCGAGTTCTTGCAGATAAAGAATACCTTATTAAGCTCTAACAAAGAGAAACTTTGTAAAACTTAACTCAAAATGAACAACTTTTATAGTCTACATTTTGCAAAATTTAATTATACTAAACAAATACCTAACCCACCCAAAAAATACATGCCTTAAAACAAAGAAAAAAGCAAAGTTTCTCATTCAATTAAACAAAGAAAGCCACCACCCATGCAAGTTAACAAAGTAGCCCACCACCTCATTATTCTTAACACAATAACAACTCCTTGCCAAGTAAATAGTAAACTAGAATTGTCAAAGAAAGTCAACAAAAGCAATGGCATTTTCGCAATAAGCATTAAGGAGTGAGGAAAAAGCCATCAAGTCACTATTCCTTTCAAATGCACTGTTCCTTTGAATAGTGTATGAGCATTCTTCTTGTTTTTAAGCGGTAGAAATTTACTGAAGATCATAATTTTATCCTTTTCAAGGGTTGTAAGATTTACATGCTAAAAGTAGGTGGATGTGAGCTTTTTTTTATTTATATATATATATTATTATTATTATTATTATTATTATTATTATTGAGTATTTAGCAATGAAGTAGTTTTTATTAAAAAAATTTCATGCATAAACAATTATTGACTTACACTTTAACATTGAATAGTATGATTAACATGTAATTTTTTTTGGAAACAAAAAAGTTCTACTGTAAACCATAATAGAAATTGTTCATTTGTGAGCAATTATGATTTTTTTTTTTTAATTTTTTGAAAAATAAAATTGTGAATAAGTAATTTTACAAATTGAGAAGGACATTTTGGAAAAAGACAAATTTATCAACCAAGATGCCCTTTATCTTTATATAGTACTCCCTCCGTCCCATATTATAGTTCATGCTTTCCTATTTTCGAGACATAAAATGTTGTTCTCATTTTCATTTTTGGATAATATGTAAAAACCATTATATCCTCATTTTTTTTAACTTTATTCATTAAACACTTTTAATTTACCTTTAAATTATTCATTTGTCTTATACTTTTTACCACTTTCTCTCTCTAACTTTTGTTTATAATTGTATTTTTCACTTTTTTCACCTTAAATTTATCCATTTGCCTTGTACTTCTGTCTAACTTTTATCCACTTTAATATATTTCATCCACTTTCTCCTCCAATTTCTTAAATTCGATTGAGAAGGAGAGAGTACTATAAATAAATTCGATTGGCCCAAAAAGAGAAAAGGAAGATTTGTCTAATGTCTATCGACTTTTCACAAGGACATATATGTAACTTAATCCAATTCAAAACATAGAAGTACCTACCAAAAGCCCGCCCATGAAAATCCCTCTGTCATTTCAATTCAAAAACACTCACTGCATTCCAACAACAAAAATATTGACCAAAAAATTTAAAGGGAGAAAAAATGGAGAAGATTTGTGTTGCAGTAAGAGTGAGACCTCCAGTAACCCAAGAATCCTTTGATGGAACCTTCTGGAATGTTGACGATAATCGTATTTCTCTTCACAAGTCTTCCGGCACCCCCATTTCCGGCGTCGCCTTTACCTTCGGTTTGAAATTTTGTTTTGCTATTTCTTCCTATTTTTAATTAATTAATTCTTAATTTGAATTGATTTTCTCTTGTTTCTTTTTACAGATCATGTTTTTGATCAATCTCGCCCAAATTCTAGGGTTTATGAGCTTCTTACTAAGGATATTATTAATGCCGCCGTTGAAGGTTTTAACGGTATGTCTTTTTTTTTTTTTTTTTTTTTTTTTTTTTTTTTTTTTAACATGCTAATTGTTGATTTTTTCGAGTATTAAAATCGAATACTTTTTTCCGTAATATGTAAAATTGATTATAAAGGCTGATTGTTGTTTTTCTGTTGATTTCAATCATCAAAATCAATTTTTTGTTGAAAATTGATTGATTATAAAAGGATGATTTAATTTTGTTGTTTTCAATATAACTATTGCAGCTTTCTGTTGGATTTAAGTCATAAAGTATGATTGTAATTATTGTTGTTGATTAATGATTATTATGTTGTGTAGGGTAGTTTGTAGTTTCTGATATGTTTGAGTGCATTGTAGGCACTGTTTTTGCATACGGGCAAACTAGTAGTGGAAAGACTTTCACTATGAATGGTTCCGAAAACGATCCCGGGATCATTCACCGGGCTGTCAAAGATGTTTTTCACATGATAACAAAGGTGAAATTTCTGGTCTTTGCCATGGTTGATCCTCATTACGGCATAGACCTCATACTACCGCGATAATAAAGAAATCAATGATCTTTCGATTTCAGCATGATTCGTGTGCAAGATTTCTGTTGAGTATCTAAGTCGCAAGATTTCTGTTGTTTTCAGCATGATGAGAGGGAGTTTTTGATTCGTGTGTCATACATGGAAATTTATAATGAAGAAATCAATGATCTTTTGATGGTAAATAACCAGAAGCTGCAGATCCATGAAAGTTTGGAGGTAAATTTAGTAGCGTATGTGACTTCATTTTTAGCTTCAAGAGTGGAAGATTCACTTATTGTGATTTGATTGTAGCGTGGCGTTTTCGTTGCTGGCCTTAGAGAAGAAATTGTGAGCGATGCTGAGCAAGTGCACAAGCTTCTTGAAGCAGGAGAAGGTTTGTCTAGCCTTGTTGCAAATTGCAATATGCACTCAAGTTGTATTTAGTGAATTGTAACAAAAATTCTTATGCCTGATCTTTGAATTGAATGATGCAGTCAATAGACATTTTGGTGAAACAAATATGAACGCACGAAGTAGCAGGTCACACACAATCTTTAGAATGGTAGTTTCTCAATGCTGTAATCTGATTTGAGCTTTAATAGTATTTACGAGTTTTTGTAACTGTTTGTGGTTCCATTTACAGGTCATAGAAAGTAAGACTAAGGAGATGGACGGTTCTAGTTCAGATGCTATCCGTGTTTCTGCTTTGGTTTGTCATTTCTTTCTATCATTTATATATACTTTGTATATCACTTTCCTCTTGTTTTTTTTTTTTTTTTTTTTTTTTTTTTTGTTTTTTTTTTTTTTTCTGAAGTGTTATGGGTTTTAATATCCTTCTTTTGTTTAATAAAATGTAGAATTTGGTGGATCTGGCGGGATCTGAGAGAATTGCAAAAACTGGTGCTGATGGAGTTAGATTAAAGGAAGGAAAACACATTAACAAGAGCCTGATGGTTCTTGGCAATGTCATCAACAAGCTAAGTGAAGGAGCTAAGCAAAGGTTTGTAACTCACTGGCATTAATTTGTTCTCAATGGTTAAGTCATTCACACAAATTTATGGGTTTGGCAGGGGACATATTCCTTATCGTGACAGTAAGCTGACTCGCATACTCCAATTTTCACTTGGTGGCAATGCTAAAACTTCAATTATCTGCACAGTAGCACCTGAAGAGGTTTGCTCGCTTTTAGAAGAGTTGATTTGAATTAGTGCATTAAGATTATTTTGGGGTGTTTGATTTTGATGCCTTACTAAATGTTTAGGTTCATGTTGAAGAAACTAGGGGCACTCTTCAGTTTGCTAACAGAGCTAAACGTGTTACTAATTGTGCTCAAGTGAATGAGGTTTGTTACACTCTTGCTTGGTCTATTGTTCTTTGACACCATTGACGAACATATTTGGTCTCACTCAACATTTAAAGATATGTGTTGGCTGCTGCGTTAACTAAATAAAGAGTTGAACTTGCTGATCAACTAAGTGTTTCGAGACAGAAGTGAATCTGTATTTGATCGTCAAATATTTTCCCTATATACCTAGATAATTATTTGGTGTAGGGGCCAGTACTAACTTACAAATGTTAAAGCACTGCTTCTGACAGTATAAAGAACATATGCATATCTCTTGTTACTTTGCAGATAGTTTGAGCCGTTTCTACTAATCATTCATAGCACTTTCACCTGGTGTTAACAAATCCAGTTGTTTTACTCAGTTTCTTAGTGTATGATAGCTAAATTTCATTATTATAAACGTTTTATTTTGGAACCATTCTTTTGGATGAAAATAAAGGATCTATTATTTGCCGTTTATGTATGCATTTGATGATGGCCTACTGATCAATAATTTTTGTATTAGATCTTGACTGATGCGGCCTTGTTGAAGCGTCAAACTTTGGAAATAGAGGAACTACGCCAAAAACTTCAGGTATAGTTTATTTGCTAACCTCAACTTTTGTGGGCTCGTGGCTCATTAAAGTATACTGTATACCTAATTAATATTATCTTGTTTAGGGATCTCAAGCTGTAGTTATGGAACAAGAAATCTTGAAATTGCGGAATGACTTGCTTAAGGTGCAGTATCTCTTGTTCAGTAGTCTCTTGTACTTGTTCTATCCCTTTACTAAAACAATAAAGTTAAGGTATTCATTTATCATTCTCTTATTAGTATGAACAAGAGCATGAAAAGCTTGCCATGGAGCTTGAAGAGGAGAGAAAACTTCAAAGACAAAGGGATTTGCACATCAAAGAGCAACAAATTAAAATTAACACCCTCAGTAATATGGTGAACTTTTCAGACAGTGAGCGAAAAAGCAATACTCAGGTGTGCTTTGAGACAATAGAATTATCAAACCATCTTTTAAATGGCCGATGACAGTCTTGTCCTATCCATCTGAGATTTGTTTTTCTTTGCTTATTGTAGCACCAAGGTTTCTCAGGTCAAGGGATGGGGGAGAGGAGCATTAATAGCCAGCATATGCGGCAAGAAGAAGCTTTCAGCACCCCCGGCTTTAAAGAAGCTCCCAAATCTTTTGTTGTTCGACGTTCAAATTATGCAACAGTATCTGATTCTGATTCTAGCCCCCTTCCTGATGCATTCAATGATGTGGCAGACGAAGATGCATGGATGAAGATGAATAAAGGATATGTAGCTGACCTTGATTCAATTTGTATGACTCCCGCAATTAAAGTTCGGTCCCTGTCATCTGATGGCATTAGTCCTGTAAGATTCATTCTTGAAGCTTATTGGTGTCCTTTGAGTAGTTTCTAACATCCCTAATATCCTATGCCAATAAATCCTAGAATCCCATAATAAAAACTTATTCTTGACGTGGTATTTATTGTAAACTTTTTGATTATAAGAGAGGTGAGTGGATGTAAGAAAAAGGTGGATAAAGTAGAAAGGTAAGTTGGTGCAAGAAATTAAAAAAAAAAAAGTAGAGAGTGGGTGGGAATGTGGTATATTTTATGAGATAATAAAAACCAAAATGAAGTTGGGTTGATAAAAATCTAATACATTCTACAAAAAAAAAAAACAGAAAAAAAAAAATCTCATATAAGGAGTAGAAATAATAAGGGTAGAAAGGGTAGTAGTTATAAGAAATTGTAAAGTAGCTTAAGATGTGAGAGAGTGTGAAGATTAAGAATTTTCTGTCTCATGTTGTCAGAACTTAGCAGTAATTCTCATTTTACAAACATAGATAAAATGTGTCATTGCCTCCAGTACACATGATTGTAACAGCGAAGAGAGTGATGGCGATAGAGTGAAACTAAGGTTCATGTAAATGGAATTGGGATCGACTATTGGTGATCTCTTGCAGTTAATTGCTTTGTAAGATATGTTTAACTTAGAGGTTTTTGCTTTGTAAGATACATATAACAAAGTTAAAGTTATCTTTATCAGGCTTTCTCAAAAGGTCATTACGAGCAAGAGATTCAGAACCTCAAAAGGCAAATGGAACTTACTACTAAAGAGAGAGACGAACTTGAGGTTAGTTGGTGAAATTTATCCTTGTTGCTCACATAAACGTCACTTGGTGCCTACATATTACTTATATTATAATTTATCTGCTGCAAATCATTGTTTGAAGATATTATATGTATCCACTTTTCTAGAATCAGTTGCTCTTTTGGTTTGTGAATCCGAATTACACTTAGGGGTCTAAACTTATATACATACTCGTAAAGATTTATATTCTTTTTTAGATTCATATCTACATGTATGATGTACTTGCAGAAAAATCACAGAGATCAGGTCTTGTTGAACAATAATTTAACCAAAGAGATCATGGAACTTCGGAAGGAGGCCAAATTGACAAGAGAAATTCCTCAAATGCTGTCTGACTCTGTGACAACTTGTAAAGACATATATAAGGATGTCTTATCTGTTATGCAGGTATACTGATATCACAATGCTCTACATATACAAATTTATATGTGAAGTGACTCCATCTGGCTTGAGTCTAATTGCACCCTTTGGATTTTTGCAGCGTTCTGTTGATGATGAAAAATCTTTTGCAAATATCTTGCTAACCAGCATGACTGAGATTGGCTCAAATCTTTTTTCAACATTGGAAACTCACTGCAGAATGGCTGTAGATGGTCATCAAACTTTCAGCACGGATACCTCTATACTGCAAGAGCAGTGTAAAATTCTTTGTGATAGATTGAACAATTCTGTTGCATTGTTGGCATCATCAGATGCACAAACTACAATGGAGAAAGAATCGACAACCAGACAATGCGGCTCTGATTATAAGGTAGTTTCTAGGCCAATATTGTCCAGATTTCACTCATTATTTTTTGTGCTACTCCTCTCCTTGACATTAGGCTACACTATATTTCTTTCCAGACTTTTGAACTAAGCATCTAACTTTATGCCTGTTTAATTCTCTCTACAAACTGTTTCATTCATTACTCTATTTTCAAATATATCTCACATTTATTACTAAATCACAAAGTATTAGGGATAAATGAAAGAAAAGCCACTTCAAGAGTTCTGAATTGTTTATTGTCAAAATTATCATATCATGTGGCAAAACTAATTTGATACTCATATGTTGTTGATATTATAATGAGTTTCACCTAGGATAGATTTTATGCATGATTGAACCAACTGGTGGGAATCACATGATAATATTGAAAGTCAGTAGGTTGCTGTTGGTGGGAAAGATGAGATTACTGTAAAAAGCATGGTTTCTTATTGTTTGATAACTATTAGGAGGATCTCTGAATTAGTTTAATTCCTTTTTCTTTGGTAAAGGGTGTTGAGTTCGGGGAAGATTTTGCTTGTTGGAAGGAGAAATTGAACAATGAAATCAGCGCATTCAGAGACAAATACATAACAAATTCAAGGTACCTTGAGCTTGAAAAGGATCATGAACAATCTAAACAGGTTCTGGAAGAGTCAAATTCAAGGTACCTTGAGCTTGAGAGAGAATTACAGGTTCTGCAGCAAGATAGGGAAACCTTACTTGATAAAGTATTTAAATCCAGTCAAAATCTAAGGTTAGTATCAGAAGAAAGAGATGTGTTGTTGGAGAGATACAAGTCTGAGGTACAAAAGAGAAAGAATCTCAAACAAGGGATCGAACAGTTTAGATTGGCATTTGTCTCTCGCCAAAGATCAATGGCATCCTTTCACAGTGATTGTAAATCTAGGCTTGAGGATCACAAGTCCCAGAATCCAGTTGTGGAAGTCAGCTCTTTTGGGTTTTAGAATTATTAGTATCTGCCCCATATTTGACTGTCACGAGCTTGCATATTTCGACAATTGATGGACTTAGTTTATAAAACCTGCAGCCATTCTACGTTAATCTGTCATGAATATTATTGCGAGATTTGATAGAATTGTCAGCTGTGTAAATTATAAGTTGTGTGTCTCCTTGGGTGTATTAAGACTAGGCTCAATGAAAATTTTGAGCTTTGATGTAAGGTTTCGGCTCCTTCAATTTCTATTAGTTACCAGTTCCCTTGCATTTTATCACGTAGTTAGTGCATGCCTTATTTCTAAGTTAGCCTGCTTTAGAATTCAGATGAGATTTCTCTGACATGATGAGAAGCCCTTGTTGTTGCTGGCGAAACCAAATTGATCCTTAATTGGGAAGATTACAAAATACAAATGTGATAACAATCATTCAAAAATTGACTTTGGTGGATTTTTCATTCCCATTTGAAAGATAAAAGTCAAAAGAGATAACAAAAACAAAAAAAAAAAAAAAAAACATAGAAAAACTAAACACAAACTATCTCCTACATAAGTTTTATTTATTTATTTATTTTTTTTCCTAAGACCATCTGTAGGTAGGGCTGTACACCACTCCAAATCTGGATTGGGTCAGAATCGGAATTGACAGTTTTTCAGGATCGGAGACTGAATTTCACCATCCTCAGGTCTGATTTTGGTCCAGACCTAAAAAATCAGATCCGGTCCAATCTTGGGCTTGATGGACCCGTTGGATTTCAATTGTTTTAAAAAAAAAATCCCAAATTCACGAATTGAAGATTTGAGTTTATTGAATAAATATCATTCTATTCAATTCTATATTTAATATATATTGCAACATTATCTACAATCAAATAAAATTCAAAGTTTAATATGTAAAAACAGAATCCTACAAAATTTAAACTCTAATAAAGAAAAAAAACAACAGTCAAATTAAAAATATGATGGAAAACTAGTAAAATGTAAGGTATATGAAAGCAAAAGTAAGGAGTAAAAAGAATAAGAAGAGAGAGAGTAAATTAGAGGATGATGATGAGGACGTTGTTGTCTTTGCTCTTATGATTGTTGTTGTTGGGTAATTTAGTACTCGCTTTTGAGATTTGGAATTGTGTTTGTGTAACATTCCTTTATCATAATAAGAGCAATTAGGTGGACTTCTTAGTGGTCCCATAGTTTTTACTGATTTTTCCACGTAAATATCGTTTGGTAATTCGCTTAGTTGTTTCTACTTGTTCATTTTGGTGATTTTTTTTTGAAGACCGTTCATTTCGGTGATTATTGTAAATGTTTGCGATTTCCCTCAATCTTTCCAACACTTGTGTAAAGTCAAGATTGATAACCTTGATTTTATTAATTTTGGCAATTTGTGTAATTTCATATCTTTATGGCTCTTCTTTAATTTCACACAAAATACACAAAATGCCAACAAAATTACATCTTGGTATTTGAAGTTATAATATTTCGTAACAAATTATGTCAAATAATTTAAGACATGTCCTTTGTAATGTTTATGTGTATGCCTCTCAAATTAGGTTTATATTGAACTAGTTTAAATTCCGTGCTATGTATGGTTTCACTAAATTTTGTAGTGAATTATATTACAACAATTATGTACCAAAAAAATATCATGAAGTATATTTTTTAAAGGAAATAAAATAGCTAGAGTTTCAATTTATATTCATGCCAAAGATATCAAAATTATTGATGCAAAAGAATTAACAAATCAAATAAAATGAAAGAAATTTGTGGACTATGAGGTTTTACTACCCCTTATAAAAAATATAAATTTTTGATTAGTAACCATATAATACACACATACATGGATATACCCTTCGTCCCTAATTTGTTAAGATACTTGTTCGACACAATGTTTTATGCAAATTTATTTGATTTTATTTTACTTTGTGATAATTAATAGCCATTTTTTTATTACATAATATATGAGTAGTATATATAAATTTTTATTTATATAATAAAATTTGTTTGAATTAATTTTTTTTTATAGGTTATTATTGCAAATTAAACATTACTATGTTGGAGTAGAGAAGGAATAATTATATTCTCGACAAATTATATATATATATTTTTATTGATTTGTTATAGAATTTGTTATATGATTAGGGGATTTTTCCCTACCAATCACCATCTGACAAGTGGACCATTCAGGCTCTGTCAAGTGTCCGCTTACAAGGGCCAATAGAAGCCTGCCACGTGTCAGGAGTTGATCTGTCCACCATGGACCAGTTGTGACTCGCCACGTGGCCTTCGTATGCCAAATAGGCCAAGCAGGCCACCTAGGCCCAATCCAAGGGAAGCCCAGTCAGCCCTAGGTTAACCAAAACCTAGGATTTGACATGTTTTCCAAGGTTATAAATACTCTAATTAATCCTCATTAAGGGGGATTCAACAATTAATTACCCTCACCTAGAGAACCTAAACACACTGATCACTCCTCCCCTAGAGGAAACAGATCTCCCAACCTTTACTTTTCCGCATTTATTACTCCTCAAACAAGTACTAACTTGACCGTCGGAGGCGGAACTCCCACCACAAGGAGTCTCCGTTGTTTTGCAGGTACAGGCGCAAGGATACCAGTCCCGAATTGTAACTCTCCCACAGGACATCAAAAAACCCCGAAACATTTTGGCGCCATCTGTAGGGAGAGTACTTTCGAGATGGCATCACAGTCTGTACCAAACCAGAGCGAGAGGCGTCCTATGGACGACCCTCAGGTCTATAGTGACCAGGATACTGAAAATGAGGTCGAGGTTGAGACTCACACGACCCCAGACGGGACCTTACGAGCTCGACGAACCCGTTCCTCTGAAAAGAAGGAACGAAAAGATTGTCAGGTTGGATCTAGTAAACCTGGTAGCCAGCCGCTTGATCATCAACAGGCGGCCGAGGGATCTACCCCCATCACTAGAAGTGAACTCATGACTTTAATGAATAACTTCAAAGGGGAGATCCAGGATCTCATTAATAAGAAGACGCATGTTCCCTCCAAGGAGCAGTCGGCTAGAAAACCTTCCCAGTCTGGAAGGAGGAAGCCTGTACAGGGTTGAGAGGCGACTCCTCACCCTAATTCTAGGAAGTGGGAGCCGCCTGTGATTGACTTAACAAAGTACCGCTTTCCCTCACCAGGGAAGAGAAAGTCCATTCGTCATGTTCAAGCGGATGAGTCAAAGAAAACTTACTCAGATGCTCGATTGTTGCTAGAGCAGAAGAAGAATGACCGACTGTCAGAGTCGGCCTCTACTTCAGATTTCCAAGATAGTTTACATAATACCTCCATGAGGTATACTCAATCAAACTATGAGAGTCAGACAAGCGGTACCTCCCGTCGGTCCGGATCTCATAAAGATCAGTCGGTACCGAATGTACCATACGTACCGCAACAACAATATTTCTTGCAGCCTCCTTTGTTTGGAGGGCAGGCGACAAGGAACGTCCAACCATTGGATTGGCAACTGCGGTTGCTTAGACTTGGAGAACCGCCGTCCGCCTTCTCCAAGGAAATTATTGAGGCCGCCCAGCTGGCCAAAGTGAAGAATGTGTTAGTAGGCGCCTATGATGGCACTACTAACCTAGAGGATCATCTAATGACGTTCACCAACCTGATGTACCTCCAAGGGTTGGATGATCCCACTTGGTGCAAGTGTTTCCCAGCGACTCTCAAGGGAATCGCACAACAATGGTTCGGCAACCTACCGACTGGTTGTGTGAATAATTTCAATACACTTGCCTACTTGTTCACCTCCAATTCTGCTATGAACATTCCTGCTAAAAAGACGACCCTTGACTTAGGGACTATTCAGCAGGGTGAGAAGGAGGGACTCCGTTCCTACATCAGGCGGTTTAATCTGATGAGGATTCAAATACAAGGGCTGCCGGATGAGGTAGCCTACACTGACTTTTTTAGAGGTCTTAAGGATGGGTCGACTTTCAAGTTCGACTTGGTCCGAAAGAGAGTTGCGACTCTCCAAGAAGCATTGATTCAAGTAGAAGCCTATATACAGGCGACTGATCTCTGTAACACTGTAAAACAATCGGATGGAAGGAGGTCTGACAAGAAAGAAAGCCGACAAAAGTAGTCGGCAAATAAAGATGAGAAAAAGCGAAAAGAAGTCTGGGCGGCCGACTCCTCTGCACAACCGACCCAGAAAAAGAAGAAAGAATTCAAACCATACTCTCCCAAGTATGCGTTCAACAAGGATAGCCAAGCTATCCTCAAAGAAATCAAGAGTCGGATCTCAATCGAGAAGCCGACCCCCATGAAGGGTTCAGCAAACAATCGGAACTAAGATAAATTATGTCATTTTCATGAGGACATTGGTCATGAAACCAACGAATGTATAAGCCTCATGCGCTATCTAGACCGCCTGGCTGAAAAAAGCGATCTTGACTCCTATGTCAAGAAGTCCAAGGGGAATGCTCCCCCAAGCACAAGCAGTCGGCTAAGAAGAATCATCGGCAGGCCGACAATTCAGATACTGACGATGTCGTCGTTTACGCTATAGCAGGCGGCTTCTCAGGAGGCGGCCCCACTATCAGGGGCAACAAAGACAATATCAGGCGGTTACATGTTAATTCCGTTCACCAAGGACGGACCGCCAAGAGTTCATTCCCAGAAATTGTCATCACAGAAGAAGATCTGGGAGGAGTTAGGGGGCCGCATGATGACCCCATTGTCGTTGAACGTAAGGTGGCCAACCAAAGAGTTGGCCGGATCCTCATAGATACCAGCAGTTCCTCTGATCTCATCAGCAACAAATGCTTGGCAAAGCTTAAGTACAAAACTGACTGCTTACATCCGGTGTCTCACCCTTTAGTAGGGTTTGGAGGAAGTGTTGTACACTCAGTTGGACGAGTGGATCTACCGATCCGTCTGGGTGAGAAAGGGGAGGGCCGTCACATGGTGGTTCGGTTCTTAGTGGTTGAAGAGCTGTCGGCCTACAATATGATCTTGGGACGACCCACCTTGAACAACTCTAAAGCTGTCATTATTCCCTCTCTTATGCTGCTCAAATTCGAAAGGGATGATGGAACTGTCGACTCCCTAAGGGGAGATCAGAAGATGGCACGAGAGTGTTACCTCTCGGATATCAAACCCACTGTGGCGACTGCTGGCCCAAGTGATGAAAAAACTGACCTTGAACTCATCAAGGAGGATGCGCCTGCCCAGGTGGCAGGCGACAAGAAAAGAAAGGCTACTCAACTGGGGTCCGAGAGAAAGGAAAAAAGATAGCAATCACTGGCAGAGGAGCGCTCAGACGAATTCCGCCCTCAGCCGGCTGGTAAGCACACGGATGTTGTCCTGGACGACTCACGTCCCGACCGAACAATCAAGGTAGGGACGACTGCTCTTGAAGTATTGGGTGAAGATTTTCACCAACTTCTGAAGGAATTCAAAGATATCTTTGCATTCGAAGTTCATGAAATGCCAGACATCAGTCCTGACCTGGCTGTACATAAATTGGTCGTGGATCCGAAAAAGAA